ATATAATAAATATGTGACGGTTATTAGAATTTCATGTGAGCTGTAAATTGGCCCTAAGGTAGATTTATTGCTTGACACGATAGTTTACCGTCAATATTTATTTATAAAAGGTTGCCGCTTAAAAGTTAACGAGTAGTCCATAACGTTAATAACATTGGGCTAGGTATTTTATGATAAATGAACCCAATTCCGTTTGATTATGTCATACATACATAGATTCTATTTGATATTTTTATGACATAATAGTAGATGTGAGCATGTCTTCTTGTTTATGTTCTATATTTAGTTCATGCTTCCGCTTATCTGTCAATGTTAATTTTGGTTCTTGTGCTTTATAGCACAATTTACTTATTATTTAGGGTGCATAGATCTTGATTTTACCTTTTAAATAGAACGAACAACTAGTTTTTTCGGAATTAAGGTTTCCTTAAGGTTAAGATAAAAGGGACTTGAAGAATATGATCGTTCTAATTATAAGTATTAAGATCATTTGGTGCACCATTTAAGAAATCTTTAGGGGCATCAAGATTGATAGGGCAAGCACTAGAATATTTCTTAAGGCATTTTTTGATACGTTTTATTATTAAAATGACAAGTTTGAATCAAGTATAGTTTTGACTAATCTTGTTTCATTAATAATAAAGAAAAGAAATATAAAGGAGTACCTTCAGTATTAGTCTAATCTCACTTTCGGCTTAAGCACTAAAGTTACGATTTTTTAACTTTAAAGTGCATATAGTTTGATTTTTCTTTCTACATCTATAGTCAACATAAGGTTTGTTTCAAAACCTAAAGGATAAATGAATTCTTTGTCAGCTCTTATTTGACTGTGTAGAAATAAAACGACATAAGTGAGAAAAGACTAAAAGTACTCAGTTAGCTATTATCCCATAGAATGACACATTGTTGCAGTAGAGACATCATAATAGATTTTCCAAAAGTAACAGAATCATGTCCGCTTTATCTGTTATTTAAAGATATGAGTCTCCAAAGTATGTCAAATGACAAGTAAGGTTTTGCTTCTGATCTTAAGAGAAGCACTAAAGACTGCAACATATGGTTTTAAAGACGGGATGTATAAGATCTCTTAAGGATATTGAGTTTAAGGGGGGAAAAGGGTTATACTCATTGTTTATGAAAGAGAGAATTTATTTTTCTCATTTTGTTGCTATAGACAATAATAAAAATAATTTCTTGTCCCACATAAAGGAAATTGCTCCTTAAAGATAAACTCAACAACCTTAAGAGAATACAGTATTAAATTGAGTTAAACTTAAGATGATAATGACATTTAAGATCTTATCAATTGTCAAAAGTGTGGTATCATTTGGTCACAAATGTATGTTTGAGACCGTTTGATTTTAATAGACAATGTTGAAAAAGTTATAAACAAAGTCTAATCACCTAGAGTTTCACTCAATACGGACTCTATTTTAGAGTTTTAGAATTCCCTAAAAGGTGTTACAACTCATAATGATTATCTCATATTTGTGAGGTAAATAAAGTTAATGTTTGTATATACCATGTGATATGTGGGAGATAATTCTGCACCTATCATTCAATGTCCAATAAAGATCTTACGGTAAAAGAAGAATGCAAAAGGTTCCCTATGCTGTCAACTTTGGGAAATTATATGCATACTTCGGTATGTACGCATTCGGCTAAATCGTACATAAAGTTAGGCAGATATTTAAATAATTCTTTAAAGTAGATATTTGAAAAGAAACAAAAGGATTATACAGTAATTATAGAGAACATAATGTCATTTATCGAAATCAGTTCATTTGGGAGATCATTTGGTTTTTTGATTTCGAGTTTGTATGATGCTTGTACGTTATAGATCCATTTAATGTATACCTAATTAAAAGAGAATTTAAGTACGAGTGTTTAGCCAACACCCAAAACTCTTTTTTAACTACGGTAATCAGTTTATAAAAGCATCTTATTTTGTAATATACAGAGTGGATAGGTGTCTATAGAATACGTCGATATAAACTCCATTATGTGTCACAATAAGGATGTCACCCAAAAGGTCTCATGAGCATATTGCTCGTATGGGTGTCATATTAATTAAGGATGTTCGGTTTTAGTGGGAGTTTATAATAAATGTGTTCTTTTGGCGTAGACACAATTTTTTGGGTTAATTCGGATTAAAGATACTCTTAGGATAATTTCTGCAGAAATAAGGTTTTGGTTTATTCACACTCTGATTTGTTAAGGTTTGATCTCGTTAAGGAGGACCAATTGGAAATAGGTATGTTAAGGTCACATTGCATGACATTTCCATGCTACACATCCACATCATAATCTATGTCATTCAATTGTGTTGATATTGTGACCATTGTTGGGTCCCGTTACGACTAATGTGAACGAAGGCCCCTTTGATTCAGTGTTAGCATGATTGATGGACGAGATTGGTTATAGACACACTTCAGTAATGACAGCAAAGTTGAGCTCAAAATTTATTTATGCAACCTATAATTATAAAGTTACACATATAGTCCAAGTGGGAGATTGTTGGAACATTAATCCAACGTTGGACTTATATGTGAAATATTATGTGTTGCAAGACTGTCACGTAAAGTTAAGCCCGTTAAAGTGATCGACTAAAGTTTATCTGGATTGGGCTTTAATGTGTCTAATAGGGTGTGGGCCTTTAATGTGTAGAGACATTAGGGTAATTTTATTATAGTGATGGGCTAAAATAAAATTACACAAGATAGCCCATTAGGTTATCTATATATATTGGTCATGGTCCCCGGATCACACGTACGAATTCCATTCTCTATGTATTCCATCAACGAAGAGAAGTCTAAAGGGTTCTCGGGTTCGGATGTACATGATGATCTGGAAGATCTATGATCGTTTTATATCAATTCCACCGGAGTAAGGTACGCTTCCGATTTATGTTTATGCACAATATTCTTGATGATTCGGCATGACGGTTCCATGGGATTTATTCAAGTTTATTCCAACAGTGTGGACTTATTGGTAAATGAGTTTTTTGTATGGATCTCTTTATGAATAAGTACCCATTGATGAGCTTATTTGTAATGACCCCAAATGCTATTTAGCATGATAGGATAGACATATGCCTATATTCCTTATAACACCCTCATATATCCTAAATCGAAAAATGTGGGATTTTGTGTGAACTTATAAGCCCCATTTAGCATATCTCGACTGGTTCTTTAGATCCAGATAATATGAAGTGATGAGTTGGTTTTGATACTACGGAGTTGGTCTTTTTTTAAACTCATTTTTTCTTAGAAACCCACTCACAACATTCGTTTAAAGCAGAACAAAAAACTAAAATAAAAACGTATTTCTATTTCTCTATTTCTAAGGGGGTCGAATCGATCCTTTTGATAAACAAACCAACCTTTCGTCATTAATATTCGGAGGGAAATTTCTTATGAATTTGAATTTTCCTTGTCCAAATCTTGTCCACAATCAGGGGTTAAGTTAGCGATACTCCTTTTCTTTGGTATACCTAACATTAATGAATTTAAGAAGTCAAAATCATGGCCTTCTACTACTACTCGATACCAGAACATTCGACGAACTTTTGGGGATTGGCTTGTAATAGGCATGTTGTGGACCCGATGCCGAGTGGGCCAGTGGATTATGCGTGCCAGGATTACGATTCATTATGACGGCTGATTTGATTAACTGAACGTCCCAAACTAGTATATAATTCACCGGCTTGCATACACAGAGGAACATGAGATCATAGTTCATTGTGACAGTTGGTTTTGATTAACTTAGATACAAGCATTATTTACAACCAAACTAAACTCATTTTGTTTGCTTGGATAAACATAAGTTGTGACAATTTCGATACTTGGAAGTAGAGAATAAAATTTTCTTTATGTGGATACGATATCCCGACTTTAGCTTAGGAGTCTACTATTACTCTATAGCGATGCGTGGACTTGCACGCGCATTTCCAACAATAGCTATTATATATTTTCTCCCTCCAGAAAAAAAAAAAACTTGGCATATTATTGGACAATATAATTTAATATTATAATATTAGGGTTGAGCTTGTTTTTGACATATTCTTCAAGTGTGGACGTCCTGTCCTGCCTGCAATTCCCACAAAAGTTGCCAAATGTACTCTTACAACAATCTCAATTTCTTTTTTCCAAAATATTCCCTTGATTTGTTTATGCCGAAATTGACTCAGCCGGTTTATTTGATATTATTTGTTAACACATACTATTATGGAGTAAACTGCAAAAAATACCCATGTGTCGTCTCTAAATAGCAAAAACCCCTTGTAATAAATAAACTAGCAAAAACCTCGCTGTGAAATTTAGTCAAAGGCAGAAACCCCCTGATTGACTTTCGTGTGGCTCACTTGGGAGATGCACGACTGGTTATTGGTTTTTGGACGTGAAATGACAAAATTGACCCTCAAAATGCACTTATATGTTTTTTTTTTAATTTGAGTGTTTAGATATTAAAATATTATTTTCAAAAAATAGTAAACAGTGCAATTGAAAAATTATTAAAATTTTGGTAATCAAATTAAGTATATGTTTTTTTAAATACAAAATAAAGAAATACATAATAATGGAATTTAAGTTTTCTTTTGATGTAAGGATAATTTAAAGGCAGCGAATATTTGCAAGACGAAATTTACTTAGTGCAAGACCTTACTTCATGCAAGACCAAAATATGAATAAATTTACTAAGATCAAGACTGGAAATTACAAATATAACCCCAATAATAATTTAGATATTATTAATTTAAATTAAGGTAATTGCTATTGCAAGACCAAAAAAAATTACAAAAAAAAGAATAAAAAAAAAAAGAAAAAAGAGAGGGAACTCACTCCCCCAACAAAACACCAACATCTTCTTCTTCACCCTCATTTTACACATTTTTTTCCACAAAAAAATCTTCCATTTTCTCCAAAACCCTTATCACATAAAACCCTCAAATCTTACTAAAACTTGAAAAGAAGGACATTATGGATACACAAGACATAAATATGGAGGATTCTAAGGTCGAAGAACACAAAGAGGTAAGAAATATTGTACTTTGTGATCGTTTTTCTCGTTTTTCGCACCTCATTTCACGCACAAAAAATTCGACATGTACAGGTCGAAATATCAGGTTACTATCGACACAGTAGTGTCGAAAATTGCAACATAATTCGACACTCCTTAATGTCGAATTCTATTGAAATTTTCGACATTTGGGTGTCGATTTTTAGATAATATTTCGACGCTGGTGTGTCGATTTTTCAATGTTACAATTGTGTAACCACTTTTCCGGTTTTTCTTGCAGAGTTTTGTACCTAGCGCGTCTAGTGGAGCTAATGCATGTAGGGAATTAGCTTTGGATTATTCACATGAATTTACCACCCATGAGGAGTTTGCAACAAGGGAAAATTTAGTCACATGGGTGCGCGAAGTTGGTATGCGACTAGGAATGATAATGACAGTAAAGTCTTCAAACCCGGGAAAAAATAGACGTAGAAGGCCCTACGTGGTACTTGTATGCGAGCGTGCGGGAGTGTATCGTGGCAAAAAGGTACCCGGTCAAGATGACAAAGGAAAGGGAAAAAGGCAAACAGGGTCAAAGAAATGTGAGTGTCCGTTTGAGTTGAAGGGCCAAAAAATGGGCATGGATGATGAAGAAGTTGGGTGGGTATTGACAGTTGAATGTGGTAGTCACAACCATTCAGATTTTGAAAACTTTCAAGGCCACTCATATGCTGGAAGATTAACACGTGAAGAGATGGCACTTGTAGAAGACTTGTCAAACGCATTGGTGAAACCAAAGGCAATCTTATCATCACTAAAGTTGAAGAATCCGACAAATGCGTCTTTAATTAAGACGGTTTACAATGCTCGTCAGAAGATCCAGTTCAAAGAGAATGCTGGTAGAACTCAAATGCAATTGTTGATGTTGAAGTTGTCCGAAAATAACTACTTCGAGTATCACAGATATTTGGAGGAGACCGGCGAGGTAATGGACTTGTTGTGGACCCACCCTACGTGCATTAAATTGGCATGTAGTTATCCGTATGTATTGGTTATGGATTGCACATACAAAACCAACATATACGGACTCCCATTCCTAGAGATTGTGGGTATTACTTCTACGAATAAAACGTTCTCTGTTGCATTTGCATACCTTCGGGCGGAAAAAATAGACAATTACGTATGGGCCTTGAAGAGCTTGGCGAAGGTCATGGAAAGTTGTCCTAAACCTAATTGTATAGTCACAGATCGAGAGTTGGCTTTGATGAAGGCTATAGAGATCGTATATCCCTCCAGTCAACAACTTTTGTGTCGATGGCACGTGAGCAAGAACATTCTTAGTAATTGTAAGAAGATGTTCAAAACGAACAATGATAAGTGGAAAGATTTTGAGTCGGACTGGGCAAATCTTGTTGGTCAAGAGACAGAAGAGTCATTTTATAAAGAATGGGATGTTATGAAAACAAATTTTGTTGACTACCCGGATGCTTTAACTTATGTCTCTCATTCGTGGTTGGATCCGTACAAAGAGATGATTGTCTCGGCTTGGACAAACAAACATAGGCATCTTGGAACGTACACTTCTAACCGGGTAGAGGGTGCACACTCACGAATGAAGAAAGAGTTGGGAAATTGTATGGGCACATTTGTAAAGATTTGGGCTCATATTGACAACCTACTGATGCATCAACATACGGAAATCAAAGCCTCGTTTGAGAAGAGCAAGAATACTTACCAACACAGTTACAAAGTAACGATATACAACGAACTTCGAGGATGTGTGTCGTTGTACGCTCTTGAGCAACTCAAACTTGAGGTGAAAAAATCACTTGAGTTGCTTCCGAACGAGTTTATGTCTTGTATTTGCGATATCCGAACCACTCATGGATTACCTTGCGCCCACGAACTTCATGGTAACGTCATAAATCGCACTCCCATCTCATTGGACTGGATAGACCCGTATTGGAAGCACTTGAGCATGGAGCCAATGATTTGTACAAAGGATGAACATCTCCCGACTGATGCGGAAGAAATGGAAGCATGGCGGGCTGTTTTCGATCCGTCCGACGCAAAAAAAAGGGTTCAGTTGCTTATGAAATTGCGGGAGATTACTCACCCCGAGAGTAACTCTCTCATTGAGCCAATGCAAAAGGTTGTTACCAAAGGTCGCCCCGGAAAAAAATTGCGTATTGATAAATCAACCCGACGCAACCCATCCAAATTTGAGTACGAGCTTAATTCAAGCAAGGATAGTTGTTCCCCAAAGGTAATTTTTTTGAAATTTTTAGCTCATAGTTCATTTTTTGGTTTCTCATTTAGTAATACGTGATATTGGTTAAACATTGTAGACTCCTCAGAGTTGCACTCCTACTTCTGGTATCCAAAAGCAACGTGAACAACTTATGCCGCAGCCAATCACTGTATCGATGGTAACCGACATCTTCAATCGAAGCACCGGTAAATCGACGGTGTTGGAAAAACTACCGGTAATACGTGCGTAAAAATATATCAGTGAATTATCGACACCAGAGTGTCGAAAAAAACAACAATTTTCGACGCTACAGCGTCGAAATATGTCAAATTTTTCGACACCAGTATGTCGAAATTGATCATAATTTTCGACATCAATATGTCGATATTTCGCTGTAATTTTTTGGAAACAAAAATGAGGTGTTCTGTATTACTAATTTTACCGTCTTATGTGCAGGTTCGAAAAAAAACTACCAAGGATATATATATTAAACAAATACATCCGAAGTTCCGAAGATATGTTGGAGATATAATAAATGTTGCGTCGGATGGTCATTGTGGATTTCGGGCGGTTGCATCAATGATGGGCTTTGGGGAAGATAATTGGAGTCTAGTACGAAGAGATTTGGTCGATGAGCTCATTATGAATGATGCTATCTATATGAATATCCACAAAGTTCGAGATACGCTTGATGAATTGGAAGCAAAAATGAGGTGTTCGGTTACACCTGCCCCTTATGAAAATTGGATGTCGTTTCCGGATATGGGTCATTTTATTGCGTCTAAATATGACATTGTGCTCGTACTGATAACGCAGCTGCAGTGTCTTACATTTCTCCCACTCTCTAGTGACCCCGTGCAAGATGGGCAAAGACAAGAGCATGGGATAGCGCTTGTTGATGGAAATCATTTTGTGCGTCTTGTTTTGAAGAAGAATTGTCCTCTTCCCCCTGTAGCAGATTATTGGAGGCGATACCACCACCCTAGAGCTAGTGCTTGGAAAACTATTGATATGGAGTCTAGGATTATTGCTTTTAAAGAGCTAGTTAATCGTAATCATGTAGCACTACAAGAGACCATATGTATTGATATGTAGAATTGATGTATTATATATATTTTTGATATATATATATATATATATATTTTTGATGAAATAATTAGTTAAGTCGTGCATTATAAAAACAAAAACATCCTAAATCATCCAAAATTATCCAAAATCATCAAAAAACAAAAACATCCTAAATCATCCAAAATCATCCAAAAAATAAAAATCATCTAACTATCTACTTTTTTCTAAGTTTCTTCCTCTGAAATGTTAGTAACGGTGGTGGAGCGGTCGACGATGATGGAGCGATCGACGATGGTGCATCCGGTGGTGGAGCAGTCGACGATGGTGGATCCGGTGGTGGAGCAGTCGACGATGGTGGATCCGGTGGTGGAGCAGTCGACGACGGTGAAGTAGGAGTGTCACCAGCAAACAAATCAGCAATCCCCTCTAACGTCATCACCATCTCGGTATATCCATCATCAGTATCTAGCTCGCGTATGCGAGCCAATGTAGTCCTCACCATCGTAATAATCTGAGAATCACGGGCCTCTAGTAGTGGTGAACGAGCTATCTGGCGGCGCCCGGGTGCTTGCGGTCGAGAAACTGGAAGCGTACTGAGTTTTGTGATGGTCCGCTCCCTATACCAATCCATATAGTCGGGTGTAGTGTCCGGCTCTCCTAATACCACTGGAACTGATCTGGACCGCTCATTAAGCAAGTGATCTTCCCATCGCTCAGAATATATGTTCTGGTACGCCGCAAATACAGGATGAGGTGTGCCCCGCTTCTGCTTCCTGAACATAGCGTCCGACATGTACGGTTGGCCGGGAATCTTCTGAACACGTCCAAATTGTCTCAAGACCCTGTCCGGATGGTAAGGCTCCAAAGTACGCATGTACTGTAACATGCCACTAAACCACGTGGACTCTGGCATAGGAAACCTGTCACGGAGGACCTCATACGGGGCCCATATAATCTGCGACGGTAAATAAATTAAAATGAATAAACAAAAAAAGTAGTCGAAATGAGTTAAAATTTAAAAATTGAAAAAACTAAAAAAAATAAGAAAGCAGTCAAAATTAGTTAAATGAGTACCTCATCGGAGCTCAAATCATCTATCAGAGTACGCAGATCACGGGCTCTGTCATTGCTTGAGTCGGACTTCAGTGGATATACCCATCGTGTAACTAACGGTCCCTCAATCTCGCCGGACCTAACCGTCGGTGTGAGACGGGGGAAATGCTCGTAAATCCAACCCTGAAGAAGCGTCAAATATCCACTGATTTGCTTCGTATTAGCCCTTGAAGCATCCGACAACGCCTCATAGAGCAGACACAAACAAGCTGTACCCCATGCGTAAGTCCCAATATTGTCCAAATCTTCTAACAAACACAACAACTGCAGTGTACCCATATTCCCCGTCTTGTCCTGGAATATCGTACATGACAATACGTACAACAAAAATGCCCTTGTCGCACACGTCTTTTTATTCTCATCATCACTATCTGTCACAGAACTGAAAGTACTACGCAACCACTCCAACTTAAGCGCCTTCAGATTTTGACCCCAACATTTATCCGTCGATTCAAGCACTACTCCGAGAATTCGATTAACGATTGCTAGTGACGATGGCCCCGTCTTACTAATTTGTTGAATAAATACCGGCCGTCCCACCACTGGCAAACCTATCAAGCTGCTGACATCGTCTAGCGTGATAGTCATCTCCCCAAATGGTAAATGAAACGTACAAGTTGCTGGTTGCCACCGCTCTATGAAAGTCAACACCAATGCACTATCTATCACCTTGTACGAATGACGTACAAGGGGCATCAAACCGGACCGCTCGACAACCTCGGTCATAAAAGGAGCCATCCGCCACTTCTCCAACATTGTTGTGTGATTATGAACCCTCACACTTTCGCGCTCCTACAATTTTAATAAAAATAAACATTCAATCAATAAAGTAAATAACTTCAATAACATATGTATATGTGTGTCTATAAGTGTAAAAGTACCTTTCCGGACAAAATCTGTCGGGCGATATGATTCTCAAACTGCGGCATCAAGTCTGGTATTTGTGGTCCTCTGAGGCCAGCCGATTGGCTACTAGATCCACCAACTTCGGTGGTCGATGTGAGCGGTGGATCCTCAGGTATGGACAATGAAGGCTCAACATCGGTAGGTAAACGTGTACGATTGGCCAGAGGATCGACTCGAGTAGCTTGAGAATCGCCACGTCGAACTTTACGATTGACCAGTGCCTTTCTCTTGCGCTCAGAAGCAGTTTGGGGAATACGCGGTTCCACTGAAAAAATATAAATATAATATTAATCATTTATAAAAAAAAAAAAAAAAAAAAGTTTGCAAAAAAATCAACACAGCCCATTTTCGACATATAGATGTCGATATTTACACACCATTTCGACATAAACCTGGTGTCGAAAATTGTCCGAAAATTCGACATGGAAATGTCGAATATTTCTCCTAAACTCGACACCAGGAGTATGTCGAAATGTAGTGTCAATATCGACATCAGGATGTCGAACAAAGTTCCAATAATCGACAACTTCGTGCTGTCGAAAGGTTTTAAAAAATTCGACACCAGAGTGTCGAATTTTTTGAAACAATTCGACAAATACAGGTCGGTTTTCGTAAAACCGCAACTCCTTCAACAATAGTGCTACAATCCAACCCCAGAATCATCAACTATGTTCTAAAATGACTTGAATTCATTATTCTAACAATAAATTCATGTTTATCACATTTATTTCTCAAGAAAAAATTAATTCAAAAACTAATGTGCTTACTTGCTTTTCGTGAGATGTTGTGGCCGGGTTGGAGCAACAACGGACTTCAACGGCGACGGGGCGACGGCGACGGCGACGCGGCGACGGCGACGGCGACGGGGCGACGGCGACGGGGCGACGGCGACGGCGACGGGGCGACGGGGCGACGGACTGTTTTTCAATTCCCTCCTCAGTTTTTCAATTCTCAAATTCACGTCTTTTTGCTTTCTTTTTTTATTAATTTTTCTTTTTTAAATTGGTCTTGCAAAAGGAAGTTCACAAAACAATTTTTATTTTGTTTGTATTTTATTAAGGTTATTATAGTCTTTTTATACTGAATTTAATAAAAAAAATTAAATTGGTCTTGCACTAAGTAATTTTCGTCTTGCAAATAGTCGCTGCCTAATTTAAAATATATGCATAAATTATCAGATAATTAAAATAGAATAATAACTAATCTAATTAAAATATTTAAAAAATATAAGAATTTATTAATTGTAAAACCGCGAGGTATTTGGGTCTTTTTATATTAAGTCACACTCAAATGAATAGTGGGCTGAGTGTGCTATATAAATAATATCATAGGGGAATTTTTGCTAATTTATTTATTACAGGATGGTTTTTGCTATTTGAAAATTACACAGAGATACTTTTTGCAGTTTACTCTACTATTATGTCATTATCCCCTCTATATAAGATCATAATTTAATTATTTATAGCATCCTTAATACCTACAAGGGAAATCAAGAAACATAGGATTGTCCGAAACATCATAAGAATTAAATAAATAAATAATTAAGTAATCACGGTGAGAAAGAAGAACAACACGAGATGCACATAAGAGACGTAAGTGAAGGTTTTCCAGCTCGTGGAATGATCTCAAATTGCTTAAAGGACAAAGACGAAGAGCTATCGTTCTTCCGTAATATCCAAAAACGCGAGAAAGAGCAAGTTGCTAGCCTTCTTCAGCCCGTCTCCGAAGAGTTTGAAGCTAATGGTGAGTCATATTTGCTAGTTCACTTGTCGAATGCACGCACACGCACCCACAAGTATGTGTGCGTTAATTAGGAACTTTTTAATTTTTTTTTTTTTTACAATTAAGTGCCGTGAAGTGTAGGGAACTATGGGCTCTATAGAATGGGATCGGGAGGAAGAAAAGGTGCAGGATTTGATAGCGGAAAAACTGACTATAATTGGTAAATCTATGCTATACTCGTTGAAATTTATCGGATGATCCAATATAGCTAATTGCATACGTCCTTTATATAAGCAATATTTGAATTAATGTTTGGTTAAATATTTATTTTCATTTTTCACATTTTCGAAGGCTAAAAACACCGCCGGCAACGCCTCTATTTCCGTCACTTGAGATGGAAACAAATGGCCAAGAATTAGTCATTCAGAGGGAAATACCAATCCTCCAGCCTCTTTCAAGGGTATGTTTTCGAATCATTATGTATAATCATAAACATTTTTTAAATAAGAAAATTATTTTTTTCCGACTTTTGATCGAGTAAATTTCATGGTAATCATCGTGCTATAAATATTAGCAAACACCCTATAGTTCAATTTTTTTAAGCAAAGTACGACTAAAACCTCATCGTTTAGGTTTGTGCATGTTAAAAACGGCGTCATAACTCATAAGAGTTTTTTCTTTTAATTAATATTAATAACACGAATAATCTTTTAAAATTTTGATAAAAATACAGGAGTATTGAATGCAATATATTCGGTGATATTTATCCTTCATCCAATGCAATTGATGAGTGGAAACGAACGAATAATTATTATATGTTGTACACTTCACCAGGTGTAACGTCTAATCAACATAAATTCAATCGCCATTCACGAAAAATAAAAAATAAAAAATAATAAATAATAAATACAACCATCTAAACCAATTATATGTCTACATCCAGTGTGCAGGAAATTCACAAGGCACAAAAACAAGTAGCATACCAATATCTCCAAAACCTAAGCCAAAACTTCCGCAACAACACAAGACACCGAACGCTAGGCCAAGTATATCACCATCACTCGAAAACAAGAACATGAAAAGCCCACCAATTATAAATCAAAGAAAGTCAACCCCAAACGAAAAAATCTACCCGAACTTCCCATCATCATCGAACCTTACAAAAATCACGACGGCCATCGAACCAAATTCAAGCACTAACAACCTAAAAAACAGAGGATTATCGGACAACACACCGCCTAATAATCTAAGAACAACGACCAATCATAGGCCAGCATCAACAACTC